AAACTAATGGCAACAAAAAGGAATTCCCTCATCAAACTTAGCAGAAGAGGCTTGATTTTGTTCTCAGCAGGGGACTTTGACAGAGTATATCTAAAAAAATACACAGTAAAAGTACTTCAATGTATTGTAAGTAGTAGGCTAATACAAAGTCAAACAGTATCAATTTCATTAAGAACTAATGGTAAAATTATATTTTTATCATTAATCAAAGATAGCAGAAAACATGCATTATGGAGGGGACTTTGACAGAGGATTACTCACAAAGTACACAGTAAAAGTTCTTCATTTTATTTCTGGTAGAAGTCAAACTAGAACCGAGTCCAACAGTGTCAGTTTCCTTAAGAACTTATGGTAACAAATATTTGTATCACTCGTCAAATATAGCAGGAATAATGAAGAGCAGCTGATTTGAAAAAACAAACTCGCGAGGCAGCTGAGTTGATTGCAGTGCAGAATCGCAGTAGTAGGCTATAGTTTAAATCTCCTAACAATGTTGTCCATTTTAGACATAGGCTTATTATATTTACAGCCCTTAATAACATCCATTTTCTGGGCTCAATATGTGTCTTGGCCGTTTTCGTTGTGATCGCTAAATTCCCCTTGTTTATAATAATCACCGTTCCTTCAGCAGGATAATGTGGTTCAAAGTGTGATTTTAGCAAACGAGTGCTTTTGTTTTGAAATCACTTCCGTGAGTTTCGCCCCGCCCCTCGCTCCAAGGACCATTTGACCATTTAGTAAGGTAAAAAGCAGAAAGCAAAAAGGCCTCTCAGACGCTCTTCCCTTTACGTGTTTAATAAAGGAAAACAATTGGACGGTAGATACACGGATTGGGGAACCGAGGAAAGAGGAGGGGAAGCAGCAGGCGTTTCGAGAAATGAGAAATCCTCTCCTCTGAGCAGTCATTTTAAAGAGACGTCCGTCTGTCTGATGGACAGAGCTGTGTTCATGATTACTTATATATTTACTTTTAATTCATTCACAGTGCGGTATAATGAGACAATAACAGGGTACAGATGCGGACATTTATATAAATATATACAATTTCAGAATCAAACAAGTATGAGAGCACTCCGTAACACAATCAGAGACTGGATATATACCCCCTCCCCCCCTGGTCTCTGAAATGGGGATTTTAAATTACGGGCAAAAGTTTTATTTGCAAGTATTAAAAGCATAGGACACCAAACCAACTGACACCTGTATGTCGGCCTGTCTGTCTACGCACTATACAACACGCGCCTACACACTGTACAACACGCACCTACAGCTCCTAAAGCATAGGATACAGCCGTTGTGTATTTTATTATGTGAAGCAGTGCTTCTGCTTCACATGATAAAAGGAGAGAGGTGCTTCAGATGCACCTCTCTCCTCGGTTCCCCTCCTCGACTCCTCCGCTCGCATCTCCTGTGGGCGCGACTAGTTTGTCCCTGTCGGCTGCTGCTGCCCTCTAGTGTTCAGGAGGATTTCCCTCTGACGTCACGCTACCCTTCTCGCCAGCCAATGAAAAATGAGCACAGAGCATTCTCTCGGCCAATCGGACGCCGGGATGTATTTAAAGGTTGTGAACCGAGGGACGTTTGAAATCAAACTAGTAGCATTTGAGGGAAGTGTTTGCCAGCGGCCACATTGGAAATTATATTGGCGGTAAGATTTTGTTCCAGTTTGATTCCTTTTTATCTGCGTTTACCACCTCACAACATCGAGCCGGCTTTTAACAGGATTAGTATACTGTCCATCTCGCGGTATATTTATGTAGACACAAACCTTGAGCTCTCGTCAACTGGCCGTCGTAGCTGCTAGCTAGCGAGGTTGACGTTAAAACTCCCTGCTTGAGAGCTAGCTTACTCTTAGTTTGGATTCTGGATAAGTTATCGGTCATTTCGGGCATTGTGCAATAACATAATCGGGTAAGTAATGTTATCTATGATAAGTGTCGAAAGTGATGTATGTTGTTAATGCTATGGTTACCGAAAAGCTAACAGTAGCTCAGAACTCAACGTTCACACGGTTAGGTAACATTAGCCAACAAGCGGAGAATGCTAACGTTACATCTTCTTTTTTCTCCGTAAACGGCATTGTGTAGTTTTTACAAAAAATAACATGTTTTACATTTATATGTATTCAAATAATAAGTAACAGATAATACATTACCTTGAAGAAATGACACCAATACTAATTTTAACGTGAGTGAATGTAGTCAAAGAAAATAAAAGGCTTTTTTTTTGTTAGAAGCTCTACTTACTATCTGACTTGTTTGATGAACAATGTAAAAAAATAACCTCCCTTTCACCTTTTTTTTTAGAATATGGATTCTTCTTCCAGACTCAAGATGACAAAGGACATGAAACACAACAAAGTGAAGGTACGATTTTACCATGACTATAAAAAAAAATACACTCACGGATTTCCATGTGAATGTGTGATGAATTCAACTTACATTTGTTGTGAAAATCAGAGTCAATACTACAGCTATAACACAATTAACGTATGTAGTTGTCAAATGTAGAACTCATTTGTGTGCAAACCCATGTAGAGAATATGGAGTTTTCATTCTTCTATCCTTTTTAAAAGCCAGTTTATTCAGTGTTTGGTGATTTCCTCTGATTTCAGACAAGCATGGATGGTCCAAAGCGGATTCCCGTGTCACAGCCGTCTCAGTCGGCTGTAGTTGCACCACCTCCACATCAGCGAGTTCTAGGCTTGTCAAATGGACCTCAGCGCATTCAGCGTCCTATGAGCCACCAGAAATCTGCATCTCATGTCTCGGTTGTTGTCAAATCTGCAAACCCCGCTGATCAGAATGTTAACCCTACTACTCTGAGTAGAAGTCGGGCAATGCAGCCCAAACGTGTGTCTCAGCAAATCCAACCAAAGGCAATCGTGCCCAAGGCGATTCCAGAGCCAGACAGGCCCCCATCGGAACCGGCAAAGCTGGAGAAGCCACAGAGTAAGCCAAATATAAAATTGGACAATCTAATCAATATTGTATCCGGTTTTTCTGTATGCTAAAATGTGTTCTATGTCTTTTTTCTCAGCCAAACTTCCTAAGATTGATGCTGCAAAAGCCTCTTCAACAGATAGGTATATTAAATGACACTCGTATTACTTATTTTGTGCATAAACTTTTTGCGTGTTGTCTGTAACTCAGCACATTTCTACTTGCAGCCACCGATGGAGCCTGGGGAACTTTGACATTGGCCGTCCCTTAGGAAAGGGTAAATTTGGCAATGTGTACCTCGCCAGAGAGCAACAGAGTAAGTTCATCTTGGCCCTGAAGGTGCTCTTCAAGAAGCAGCTTGAGAAGGCGGGGGTTGAGCACCAGCTGAGGAGGGAGGTGGAGATCCAGTCTCACCTCAGGTAATGTGTCATTCAAATGATGTGATATGATGCCAAGTATGAATCCTGTCTGTTACACAAAGTGGTGGTACAAATTATTTAATTTCAAAGATGTCTGAATCGCGACAAGATAAACTTTCTTATTAAGAGAGAAGATCACTGGCCAAACTATAATGAGCAGTTTGGAGAATAATGCACATATGTCTTTAACTGTATGCATACACTTGGGGTGCATTCGCACCGAATAGTCCGCTTCTCGGTGTGCACCAGACCACAGTTTGTTACATTGTTTCATTTTTCAGAAGGTTCGTTTTGTCTTCACCTGGGCAAAATTCAAACTAACTAGAGTGGCGAAGTCACGCCCATCTACTTCCGGTCCATGGGACCTTATTTCGGAAAAAATAATGTATTGAAGTCAATGGAGAGAGAAAACATATCTTTCGATCCCGTTTGAATTGTGCCATGAATTACACATATG